GAAGAGTCGATCTCGACTCTCCACTGTCGCTAGGACGACCGACAGAAGGAGGGAGTACTTCGATTTCGTGCTGTATGCTTCTCTCATAATGTGCAACCGTCGGTAGGGCGTCTTGCACTTTCAGGTGGACTTGAGTCGCTGACAACCTTGACCGTGGTTGCGATTGGTGCTGTCGCGTGGAAATTTCGAAACGATTGCGGGTGTGCTTGTGAGGTGCTCGATATGAGTCACCTTGATCTCTACGAGATCGCCTTGTCCAAAGTAGATGCTTGATCTGCGAGCGTTCTGACCACTTCAGCCGTCTCGCGATCTTGCACCATTCTCCTTTACTTGTCTGCTGCGTCCGATCGCAGTTTGAAGTTTTGTTGAGAGTCCTTGATCCCTGGTCAAACAATCCAGGGATATCACTTGATTTAAGTATGTGACATCTCCTGACGTCGGGTGGCCAATGATCCAACCCGGATAGAATTCGACACGTGTACTCAAAAGCAAATTGAACTCTGTTTAATGTTGATGAATAAAATCCACAAACTAATACATCGCTAGGCCTATCTGTATCACTAACTTCCGGGGTCGCGCGATTTCCTCTCCCACAGATCGTCCCTCTGTACCTATGTGGCTTACACCAAGTGCGCTCTCTCTGATACTTTGGCGTGGCCCACACTTGACTTGTATACAACCGATCAAGAGCTTGGATCGAGATCGAGAGCTCAGACCGAGAGCCTAGATCAAGATCGAGAGCTCAGATCGAAATCGAGAGATCGGATCGAGACCGTGAGCCACAAATCTCAGATATTATTCTTCCGATCAGAATTCTTTTCGGACTTAACTGACGCCTGAGATCTGTGAGCTCCCACGTCCCAACTTAATGATAAAATTGTGTGATAGCTAGACCCCACTTCCAAAGCGCTTGTAAGCATTGCAAAAACGTAAGTTATTTATAGTGTGGGATTATTGGTAGAATTCCTGACGGTTGGTGAATTTAGTGAAGCTCTTTGAGAAAATTGTATGACTACTCGTATCTATCCTACAAAGCTTCCATGCGGTGCTACTGATGCAACTTTTGTCCTAGCCGATGCAATCGAATCATATCATTACTATTACATTCCTCCGGAAGCATGATATTGATCTTTATTATCGAGGAATTTTCAGAAAATTTATCTGATCATTAATTCTTCAGTGGTATTGATTCATCACCTTAAACAAGTGACTTCACACGTCTCATACGTATATGTTGGCTTATAGTTATCTCCCTGATTTTTTGTTTGAATGTGAGAGGCACCCTGCCAACAATGATATGTCACTTAATGCGTTTAATAGTGGTTTGAAGCGGCTACAAGACCTAGTCTTGACTGGCTTGAAACGATAAAATGAATATAGACAATAGGCGAGTACCTATTACAGCTTTAAACACTGAATGATGACAATCCTTGAGCCTGATGGTACTAATGCTTGTCCATTGACATTGAGAGTGGCTGTATAATGCAAGAACGAAATTGTTAGCATGTCATGAGATCAATGACATATATCGAGTGAGCCTCATAATTTTCTTAGGTGTGCTTGTGGATGGATCTTCGTTACGCTAAACGATGTTAACATATCTTAAATATACGATTTATTCCGCAAAAAACTTTAATAGTCTTTAACTCGGCGCCCTGCGGTATGAGGTTGTATGTGAACAAAAACGAGCAGTTAGGCTATAACTTCTTCATGTATTAAATACAGATATATTTTGAGATGAATTTGATACATAATATCGGCAGTATGGTAATGAAAGGTTTATCGTGGAGTACACTAAATGTTTATCAAAAACATATAGTTGCGCTTGGATACGCTTGTTTAACATTATCTGATTTACGATAAGTCAGTGTAGCACTAACATGTTTCATCAATTTATGAGCGCGTAAGCGTCCATAGTCGGTAATTACGCGAATGATGATAATATAATGATCCACAACTTGCAAAAAAATGGGAGAATATAGTCTTGAACATAATCAAGACTATATCCTTACGTCTCTCGATGATAAAGTTACATTAGCCTGCACTTGTAGCAATATAAAAATGGTCTTCGTGAAGCATAATCTTACTTAATGTGTTCTGTTGATATATAAATAATGTGGTGCTACGGGATATGGATGACTCCTTCAAGTCTAAGAGGGTTAAAATTCATTTGAAAAATGGTTTGCCAGAGCCTTGTGCTTACCTTACAGGTAATTGAATACTATATAACATAAAAGATTCTATAGATAGCTACACAAGGTCCACCGATACTCTTGATCACGTCGCACCATTGTCGCCAGACGCTGATACTTCGTCATGCGGCATCCTTGGCATGATCACTATTTCTGCATTTGCACACACTAACGAGGTAATAAATTTGTGCAAACGAAATATTAAGAAGGACAAAAAGCTGATACCCCTGATTTCGTGTGAAATAATGCGACATTCATTTTTGTACATTTCAAAAATCCGAACGTAATTTGGGTATATCTGCACACAACTAATATTTTTAATTAGACAATAAGATCGAATGAGCATTTATTGTTGTTGGTTGTGTGGCGCATAAATTTTAATTTTTCGATGTTTACCGCATTGCATTAATTCCTGTGTGTGCATTGATTAAAAAATTCGGATGATTTTTAAGATAAAGAAGAAAAATGTGCTAAACAATGACGAAGTTAAGAATATCACCATTATAATGTTTGTGCGACCGAATCGACACGATCTATCAGCATTTGTACACATTTACTTATACCGTCACTCCCTCTCATGTCACGTTTATCATCTCGAAATTCGCTTAGCGTTTTCAGTCACCACTTGAATCGCAGAAGGGGGGCGTGCGATGACGCTTCAAAAGTAGTCATGGAGTGCCCATGTCGTTCGATACTTCATATACGCTGCTTCAAACCCATTCATTCGACTCACATGTTGCTCTAATGACATAATATATCCATATTCAATTGGTGGTGAATAATGAAAGATAAATATGGGATAGCGCTGTGTTTAAATAGTGCGTACACAGAGTTGGGTTGGATGTCAAAGGTATGACAAAATGAAGCTTGGGATGAAGTATAGACCAGCAAAAAGAGCGAAAAAACTGGTGAGAACTGCTTATAATTTGCTCATGAGGATGACCCCTAACTTCGTGATTGACAAGACTGCCATCATGCCGGACGTAGACCTTAATGTCTCTAGCAACAGGATGGAAGAGGCCTTGGCATGTGGGAAATCGTAATTTATAAACGAATACGAACGCAGATATACACTTTTCATCGACATGAAAAGTGTACATCATGTGAAAGGTATTGTGGATACGATAACCTGCGTGTTAATATAATGTGTCGTTATGACTGCTTTGTAATGTCTTTAGTTGTCTATTTCGAATTGCACAGACGACAATACACTACGTGTGCGTCTACGTAAGTGCAATTTAGCTTTCTATTGTTCAATACAAGAAAAAAGAATTGCGAAATCATTTTTTGCGACGCGCATCCATCGTACAACCGAAACTTGAGCAACAACAAGCGCAAACAGCAACCATCTGCCGACAGGAAACAGCTTAAGCTACTAGTTTGAGTTTGAAGTGCTTGCTCGCGACATACTAAGCTCAACCAAAAGCTACAACGAGCATGTAGTGATACTGTGTTACGATCTAATGAAAAGGAGCCTCACATTGTTAAAGTATTAGAACATCTTACCCCATTTGTGAAGTCTTAAATGAGATTATGGATGCGGATTGTGAACGCTATGGAGTAGCAATTTACACAACTATATGCACGAAATCTATCGTACGTGTGCTAAGATACTGACAATCATATTGTTTACCGCAATCACATAGTATGTCTTCATGCACGACAAATACACATGACACTCGCGCTGTAAATGCTGCGTATCGCACAAGAAGATGTTGCGTATCGCACAACAAAATGTTGCGTGCCGCTTGCTTTGATGATCAAAACGACATGATCAGTGGAGACTCGATGCCCGATCCACGTCGGGCAAATTATGGGTGGACTTTCTTTCAGTCAATTTAAGAGGGCATATATATACCACAACATCATTATTGTCTTTCTGGGTCTGTCTTAGTTAAGCACTTGTGTTCTCATACATGTCATTTACAGCTCTGATGCATTTCTTATCATCTGTTTATTTGGCTTATTTACAATTTCCCTTCTTTACATCGAAGAATATGATAAAGTATGCATTGTACCTGATTAAAATTGATCCGAGCCTACACGTGATCTATGACGTCCCGGTGCATGTTCGTCGCGTTCTATGTATCCTTTCATCTGACAATCTATTAGTCTGACTGCAAAGAGTCCACCTTTACAATGCTGGAATTGAGGTGGAAATCGAACGTGGAGAAGGCAAGAAAGGTTGAAGGAACGAATTTATGCGTGCAATTTCTTAGTGATAGCAAACAGCATTGCTGCTGGCTTCGAATGGTCACAGAATTGAGGGTCGATTGGAGCATAAAGGACATTACGTTCCGGTCAATATGAAATGTTAGGCGAGGCTAGCGAAGAGGTCGCGTTGCGTATGTGCTGCAATATGCTGCGTGAAGAAAGCACATAGGTGGTGGCCAACGGCTGAGGTCTGTATGCTCGAATGAACCAGCGACATTAAAACTTCTTCTTGACCGTACTTGAGATAAATATGCTGCCTTACGGTATCAGACACCTGCTCATTAATTATCGGCAAGCGTGACCTGCCAGCTTAGAAGAAACGTAGAGCGATACGAGCAATCGGCTTTCTGAGAGATATGTACGAGTTTTTTGATGAAAAGGGTACTCTAGTCGAAGCGATACATTCTCTGGACTCTGTCATATCTACACTTGGCTGTCGAGATAACTAGCGGAACGATAAATGATCGTGATCACTACACCAGTATCATTACACTGTTCATTGGCACTCATACCAGGTGCTCGCAATAATGGTTCATACGCTGTTCACGATCGTCGAATCTGAGATTCAAGCATCTTCATGAAAGCCGCAATGCTTTACAAGCGGTCCCAATTCAGCTCTTCCGCATCATCTTGGACTACACCATGCTCCATGATAAACTTGCCTTCTTTGTATTTCTGGGAACTCTCCATGGCTTTGATCTTTTCACCATAAGATGTAGTTATTGCTCGAATGTTTATAATGCTAGCAAGATGAGTGCAAAAATCACTTGCTCACTTACGTATTTCCAGCCCAGCATGACATCGCATTGACCGCATAGAATGTCAGCGATAGAGTGGATTCCAGTCCTCAGGTAGCACTTGCGAACAGAGCCGACGCGAACGTTGTACCTTATAACAAGACGAATTCATTGCCAAGTTAGAACGCCACGTGCCATCATCCTCATCCCACTAAATGTGACATACACGTTATTCATAAGGAAGGCCTTGCCAGTGCGACCGAAGAACGTCTTGGAGATAACGTCGTCGTGGTCAGACACCATGTTGCCACAATAGGCACACCGAAAGGCGTGCGCGTCTTCCACGTCGCATCGCTCGCGCGAAAACCCGAACGATTTACTGACGCCGCCATAGTCACCACTACCACCGTCCCGTGTTTCTACAACTTGACGTAGCATTTCCTCGTCGTCTGCAGGTTTGTCGTCATCTTCACTGAAACGATCGGCCCATGATGCAGGACACCGTGGCGTGCGATTTCCCAGGTATTCGACGTGCTTGCAGCCGCTGCGGATCACTATGAGAGGCGGCATCGGCACGTGCGGGTGTCTTTTTCACTGATTTTAGGGACTGACTCGAGAATAATGGATTACAGCTGAGTACTGACTCGAGTATATAGAACACAGTTTATATCGTGGCGAAAACCCTTCTATCGATTTGCACCTTCCAGTCGCAGCTCAAAAACTACGCTCCAGTCGTCCTCTTGGACGTGCAGGGGCCGACCTAGTGCACCTACTAACGTGTTTACGGCCTCGCAAGTCGCCAGACGGACCGGTGGATGTTTGTAAACCGCAAAGCCTTTCTGCTTTGCTGCAAATACAAAGTGCGAAGCTGTACACTTCTCCACGTCGCACGCTCCTACACAGGCAGCTCGACATGGATCCATCGAGAGAAGCGCTACAGACCTGGCACTGGGTCGGAGGACGCAGCAAATCGTTTCAAGCAGCGGCACGTGTAGATCTCTTCCTAGCTGCGTGATCTCACTACCCAAAACCGTGTCGAAACGGTGCGCAAACGGCGCCACGGACTTGGCTAGACCCCATTCAAGCTCAGCGCTCGAAGCGACTGGTTCTCGAGCATCACCAGCTTCCTTCTCAGCCCAAATGTGGCGGTTCTTGGCAATGTTTTTCGTCAGCATGTCAGGAAACTCATCGGTTAAAACGGATGTTTTTGCACCCAGCGACGCAGCCACGAGACCACAAAGACCACAGCCTGCACCAAGCTCGATGACGTCGCGTCCCACTACCACATCGTAGCCGTGTGTTTCTAGAAACTCGCAAAGGATAAGCGCACCAGCCCATACTTCGCCGCCTAGTCCGTCCACCTTCGTCGTGTCTTGTACTACGCGAACACAGACGTGATCACGTGGCTGTTTTAGACGAAAGAAGGCTTCGTGCTCTTGCTGAAAGTGTCGGCTCATGATTACTGGCCACTCATCGCTAACCGGCTGTCACAAGGACGAGGTGATCTTGCAGAGCGTCCAAATGACACCTAAGTGCAAAACCCGACCCGGACCAGGTGTAGCTGGCTGGTCGCCGTAGCTGCGCAATATGCAGTATATGGAAATTAGTAAGCTACCTCGACGAGCTGTTCAGGTGACAGCGCCACTAGTAAGCTACCTCGACGAGCTGTTCAGGTGACAGTGCCACTTTAAAGAGAAAAGGTACGTTATAGCGAAATCAAAAGTCTAGCTAAGAGGGTTGAGATTGCGCTGCATCGTTGTGAACTGAGTGACCTGGTCCAGCTCGTTTAAGGTGGCTACGTGCGCGGATGCTGCACATCCTAATTTTTGTGCCTTCGCCAAGACCGCAACGTAAGTTGGAGTATTTTCGTGTACCCACCTCCGAACATTTCCTCCTTTTCTTTACGGTAAACGTCCGTTCGTTTTCTTTGAGGTACGAGGCCATGTACCAACCCTCGATGGGAGAGGCTGGACAGCGCCAACTGAACGACCACCTGACATCAAGTGAAGCCATGAGTGCACATCGTGTGCAACCTTTCCTGACAGAAACGGCTACGGCATTTCCGTCGTCATCCATAGGCATACGTTGAATATTTGCGTTTGCCGTATAATGGATCGGCTACCCATTCGCGTGGCGTCCTGTCGCAACGTCAGGTAAGCAGCTCCTACCGAATATCTCGTGTCTGGTTGTCTGGGCTACAGTCTTGGATGCATGCAGCGCTGTGCATAGAGGATGTTATCTGCAATAGATATCTTGCGCATAGGTCCTGACCTAATGTCCAAATATTGCGGATCGTGACAGATAAGCGTGCGGCAGAGGCCTGCAATAGTCGATGCATCCGTTCGCTCGTATAAGCTCATATGTAGTTGCCCCGCTATAAATAATGTCGTCTTGATTCTTGCTAGCGTTTCGGTTTTGCACGATGGATAATTTATAAAATCTATCAAATAATCACGAAAGAAAAAATTGGACACAAGATGAAAAATAAATGCCCCAAAGTACCAAAGAGCAAAGTAATTAAACATAATGCACGAGATATGTACGAGAGCAAAGAAATGCGCCAAATGATTAAAATACGATACATTTTACCCTGATGTAAAATATACGATTGAATTTGCAAATGCCTGCCATTATACAAATACATTCACGAATGCCTGCTGCATTCCTTCTCTACTTCCAATAAAAGAACCCGATACATATAAGTATCAACAGTCGTATTGTACGAAGCAACAGCACGTCAACACTTCAAGAGTAGCTTAACTGCGTTGTTTGTCGGTCGATTGCAATAGCACGTTAATCCTGACACTATTATCTTGATTTTGCGACTCATCGTCTCATAAATGTGTAGCTTTCGTCTCGACCGAATCGTGCTGATAAAATGAGATGAGATGGCGCCGTATTCAAATTCTGCGTACATACTGCTCTGTAAGATATTACAGATACGACATGAGGAAGCACGAGATGGCTGACAGAAAAATAAAATAAGAGGGTCTCCAAAAAGTAGAGATTTGGCGGAGGTGTCATGGTGCTAACGCAAATGGTCACGCGCATGATTGCGCCTATGCAAGGATGATTGTATTATAAACAATCACGCACTGCTTACGAGATATTTAGACCACCACACAATTGAATGCTGCTGATGGTGGTACATCGCTATTGATTGTACATATCGGAATGGATGTTGCGAAGATAGAAGCAATGTTGCATTTTGCGATGCATGATATAGTGACGTAAGCATAAAAGCTCAGTCCTCTCAATTTACTTCGGATATGCGATATTATATACTGATACATCATGATGTTCTACAATTTTAACAAAGTTGTTCATCCTGCGAGTACATCAAACTATGACGCTCGCATCGCGGCGCTCACATTTGCTGTGGCAAAGGTGCCGGCGTACTAACAACTTTCGTGCTGTAAACCCATGTGAGCTGGAGGGATAAAAGCCTCATTCGGCACCTTTAGGTCGTCGGAGATGCCCATTTATAATTGCTACATTACTTTTACAAATACCACAGAAGTGTTCATATGTGACCATGTAATGTCTAGCATCGGTATATTCGGCCGTGTATTCCAAATTACTGGTACGTTTTAATAATTTATTACATGATTACGTTTTCATTTCGTCAATCTTGTGGTCTATTTCATATGATATATTTACTTGGAGTTTTTTTAATAAAAATGTTTAACGCTTTCTTTTGCTTGTATCGAGCCGGTCGATCGACTATTAATGGTATTAAGTGCATAGTTTTTATTCTAGAAAAAAACACGTCGCATCACAACATGAAAAACACAAATTCATTTACAACACAACTACAAACAATAAAACGGTCTTACATTTTTCTATGCTATCAAAAGAACTGCTTATGCTCAGGGTTCCCATAAGTCCTTTCGGGTTGTTGAAAGTACAAAAAACAATTTCGTAGCTCTTCGTAAAAGAAAGAGTGTCATCAGCGTTCTTTCCCTCTCAATCCATCATTTGCATATTCTCATCACTTCTTTCACACATGAAAGCAGCTTAACACGCCAGTACTCTTGCCACAAGATACAAACACTAAACACGACAGCGTCATTTTTTGGGCAACGCAAAAGCGTGATCATACCAGGGACGCAGCATAACGAAGTATCAGCATATTGTGACAATGGTGCAACACGATCGAGGGACCTATTGAACATTCGCTAAAGCGCAACACGTCCTACACTGCAGATAGTCATATTGCAGCGATACCCTCTGTTCCTTAACGATAGTCGTTTCTGTCTGTCTACACCAGCTTCAGCACCACAATTGGCAGCTTGTATTGAGACAATGGCATCACTTCATCAGCAGTGCGCCATCGGCCATCGTGCTTCCCGATACGTGTGTCTGCAAACACCGCGTTGTCACTTTTCAAAGCGTTAGATAGTTCAATCAACTCTTCAGTAAAGTATCTGCTGTTGCTGTCTATGTCTATAAATGTTGCCTCTTATTTTATAACGTTCTTATTTAGCATTGTGTAAACAACAGTTGAACACTGCTCTATCATCTTATGTTATGTCATCGATAACGCCGAGGGGACAGCTACACGCTACTATAACGTCAAACAATGAGACCCGGATCAAGCGATTACCCTCCGGTTGTGTTAGAAAAGCCAACGCGCCTTTTTGTCATGCAAAATTAATGTCGGCGGACACAGATGAAAAGGTTTGCTACATAGCTAAGTAACTGAGGGAATGAAAAAGATATACGTGGCACTCATGAATAATGTATCAGGCTTATGAATACCTGCTTGTGCAGCTCATACCATGAATGCATTTCGTTTCATTCATGTGTAGAGCAATATGTTACTTTCGGATTATCTGGTGCGCATTTTTCCGTTTCGAATCCATTTGGTGCACATTTTATTCTCATCATTTTCTAGTGCATTATTAAATCTTCCCATCTATCGTGTTATTATTGCCCATGAAGCCGTTCACGGCAGCAAGCGCATTCCCGACTGCAGGATGTACGGAGCTCCTACTAGCTGACAGCAAGGACGCGGTCTATATAAATGAGCTCAAAAACGTGTTACATGGGGTGGCAGAGCGCGTCTACGGGTCACATTTCATCTCGCAGCTTCTGCCGGAGTTGTCTACGTTGTCCACACTGCTCTACTACGCACTATCCATTGGCATGCAGCAGCCACGTCAGACCCTGGGCGAAGAATTTTGTGACATCATCCGCGTAGCGAAGTTTACGTCGGAGCCTGTTGAGCCTTTGCGGCTTTCACAACACGTACTTTGGCTCGCATGTAATGTGCTGCCATCGTACCTAGCTGCACGATCGCAGAACGGATGGAACAACTTATGTCAGCTCACGCACACGTCACGGGAGCGCATGGAGCAGCAAATTCGTTTTCGGCAAGAATCTGATACGATAACACGAGAAGACACAGAAGGTTCCGGTGGAGTGCTGGGGCCGCTTTCGACATATAGAATGGCCACATTTACTCCGCAACGACTGCTTCGTGGACTTGACCGAGTTGTGTCAAAAGTGAAAGCTATGCGCGGATGGATCGAAGTCAATGTTGCACCGCAATCGTATGAATTTAATTTGGAAAGTGTTTATCAGTGGGGAACTGACGCACACCTTGCAATATTCTACGCGTTCGCCCAGTACTTACACATGTCGAAGCGAATTGCCAGCATCCAGTACGTTTTTGTACGCAAAGACGTAAGGCCCGGTCTCAATCTTTCCGTACTTGGATATATAATGTCGCTGCGGCTATTTACCACGGCGATGGTCGAGATGAAGAGACTGCACGGACACACCAGACAGTACAAGAAGCGGAGGCAGCAAGCATACTTAGCTAGCAGTGTCCCTGCATCTGTACTCGATCAATCAGCAAGAGTTCCCGTATCTCGTTCCCAAGCGAAAGTAAACTCAAGCTCTAATCAGAATCCAGTGGAACGCGCAGATGCTGGTATCTCTCGGCTGCTTCGTCGTAAATGTGCACTTTGTCTTAGTGGACGCATTTCCCCTGCTGCCACCCCATGTGGTCACATATTTTGCTGGGGATGTATTGTGAGTTGGTGTCAGAAGGTAAAGGCCGAGTGCCCTCTGTGTCGCCGGGAGACGCACCCTCAGCAAATCAAGTGCGTGTACAACTATGTCTAGTGTAGCTACGCAAAGGTGTGACAGTTTCCGAAGGCAACGATACGTAACGAAATCGCACAATTGCAATATTGATCTGCATCATGTCGCCATAAGTCCAGCTATTGTTCGCGCTGGCGCTTATTCTTCTTGCCCTTCGAAACAGAAGCCCCTCGTTTTCCTTTGCTTGTTGTCTGCACTTGTGCCTCATCAACAACCTCACTTTTCTTCTCCGCCTTTAGTGCGTCCACGTACACTTGGTCAGCGCTTAGCGCGTTATGAATGAAACGTTTGGAAGCATCCTTGTCCAGCAATAATTTCGGGCCTTTTGTCAGTTCTTCCGCCTCTTTGATCTTCTTGATAAAAGATTGCACGCGTTCCTATGACAACAGTACGGCTCGCACACTTGGTTACAAAATTAAGATCTTTGCAATGACGGGCGTACCAGTTCTTGCTTGACATGCATTTGCCGGATGTCGCTAGAAGACACTCCTTGTGTCTTTAAAAACACAAATAGTAGCGCATTGATTGTGTAGGCTATTGTCATTGTAGCATAGCAAAAAAAACGTGATTGTGAGTAGTCAACTTAACTCTCAGATGGCGCGTGACGAGACGTACCCAATGAAACCTGCACCTTCGCACGCTCCAGATAGCTGAGAGGGGCCATAAAGTCTTCCAGAGAAGTCGTGGAAAGCACGACTAGATGCTCCTCCACTGCTGCTAGCGTCTGCTCCACGCTAGCAAAGACTTGGGGCACTTTTTCGTTCATTGTTTAATGTTGTCTGATAAAATCATAGTTTTTGATTCGTCTACTTACGATGTCCATTCAAATTTAGTGCTTTTTCACTCTAAGGTTGATGGATGCTAGCGGCTGCATAATACTATCAGGGTGTTTGGCCCTGTCATTAGAATGAGGGACGCTCTAATATTACATCGAAAATATGCACCAACAAAGATAAAATTTTAGCTGATGCAATGAAGAAATTGTAATTTTGCAGACAATATCCATCATATCAATGCCAGAATTCGTATCTTATCCACAATATCCTAATACATATTATTCCACTTTAAGGGGATTGACCTTTTAGCGGTTAAAGTGGCAGCAGCTGCGAGCACAACGCATAAGTAAATACAAGTTATTGATAGGCCTAGACTGGCAGCATTCCAACATAAATTTTGGCAATGAGTAGAAGAAGACAATGTTATATCAAATAATAATGGGTTCAGTTCCGATGTAACCGTTTTGAAAGATATTGCCATTCGTAAGAAATGGCTATTTAAAATTTAATTTTGAATATTCTCCAAACATATACTAACATCGATATTGTTTTCATGACTGACGAGTTTACTCACTGATTATTACAGGCTATTGAAGCATCATACCAATCTCTGCTTGACGCGCGCAATGGGTTGTGAGTAGACCTCACCATACTTGATAATATATTGATATAATTTGCAGCTACAGACACTGCACATATTCTCTACAAGACAGCCATATCTTTTGCTTTGACAAATATATAGTTTTTGCATTTAGATGAAGCGCGAAAAGGATTTTTTAGTTTCAGCTATCTTCAATTTACAAATTTGTCAACACAAAATATAATATAAATCGATCAACTTCATAACTAGACCACGTCTTTAAACACCAGCAATCTGTAATATTATACTTAAATATGTGCCACTTACGGGAGACATCTGCGGGGGGGGGAAGTTTTAAGTGGCTATAACTTTTAATCGTTTCTCGTCACATGAGGGTTGGTCGCATCTCGAAGCATTGCGTTTAGTCTTCTTTTGCATAAACCCTTCCAATTCACTCCACTTAAAATTTATGTTTAATTTAATATAAAATGATCAAAAGCGTCATCGTCTGAGAACTTATAGCAGCACTTGGCACTAAGTGCCTTTCGATATTATTAAACAAAATGCTGCCCTTATACGAACGACACTGATCACAGCTACAGACCTGGTATAATTTAACTACAATATAATATTCTGTTTGGTACAAATATATATTATCTGTTGATAAACATTCATCACGTCTCTCACTCATTCCTGACGCGTTCCAAATATGTTCGCAGCTCTCGCTTCTGATCAAAGATTTTACCAAACTTTCCTCTATTAATCATGACGAACAGTTCCTCTACATTTCATAGCCACTTTGCGTTTACAATAGGTGTATACGATTCTTTCCAATACTTCACAGCTGTGTGGTCCATTATCTCTACCGTTATGGAATTCCAAGCTGTGAGCTAATTTTTTGGGCCCTCTTTTCTTCTTATACACCTAGGTTCAGAATCATTCTGGCTACCTGACACGACAAATATATTTTGTGGAATTTTCAGTTGATTAACAATTAAGTCTCCCTTTTTTTATAGCTAGGACCGCCAATTATGATTAAATAAAGAAATTATCATTATGTAGCAGAATTGGGGGGTAATATTATATCGAAATGTGATACATGTTGTGATAGAGGCGCCTCGGCATGATCGTTTCATATGAGCTTGTAGCTTTTGTGGATTAGCGTGGCCGCACCGCCCGTTCCTCTTCGGAACGCTGCATAGATGCTGTCAGATCTCAAGACTTTATGAGTGCAGTAGGAGACTACATATTGCACTTAATCAGAATTCAGAAGATGCAGGATCAGGTGGGGAAGCTTCAGCAAAAATGCCCTGAGCAACGAAACTCTGAAAAAAAATTTGTAGTGGACCCTCGGCAATGGTTTATATTTTGTATGGTGAAAAAACTCTAGCTTATATGATATATAAGGGGGAGATTTAATATTTGGCCTGGGCCCAACATGGGGCCCGAAATCTATATTTTAAAAGGACGATTATATACAAGAAACGAGTAAATTACGCAGACTCTACTGTATCCACATATATATCCAATCATACCATAGAAAAGATTGTAAACAAGTAAAGACGATCGAATTTTCATGTTAATATCGAAGCGTATCATAATTTACCAACTAAATACATTTAACTTCATTTAAATCCTACCTCAAGATTGTCTCCTACAGTGTAATATGGTCCGAGTGGAAAAGGTACTTATAATAAAGATATATACGAAGCATATTCATAGATAGACAATTTTGTCTTCTCCAGTTGCATCAGTAGGAAATAGAAGAAAGTATGGTTAATGACTTCTATATTAAAACGCGCGCCAGACGCGTTCCGGCCCCCCGCCGGGGGCCTCGTCATTGGTTAAATTAATCTAGAAGTGAGATCTTGATCTATCCTGCGCTCAACGACTAAGAACCTTCTAGAACTTCGTGTAACCACACAAATTATCCACTACAGCTACCAAACCTGGCAGCTGGGGCGTCGACCCGGAAAGTAGTGTCCGCTATGACATCTCCACTTCCAACAGCATCGACCTGTGCGAAGGATTGGTTATATGTAAGAAATTAATTTATACATACTACTTCATGATTATTTCCTACTTACTACTCAAACGGTCAGTCCACTTGCACAATGTATTCGACTTGTACCGAAAGTATCGGAGCTAATATCGTGGAACCAAGACATAATGTATCGGCCTTATTAGTAAGCATTTTCCCTCGACGTTCTTGGTTTTATACTTAATAAATGGTAATATTATATACAGTCAATCGCCGTTTTCCTTCCACCACCGGTATTTATTTAAGGTTTGATCTCTAGTATCAAGCCGTCAAAATTACGATTCGTACGCCTTTTTTTAAATTATACCGTTTCTGTGGCAATCATGTGATCTTACACCTTACCGATTTGCTTTGGGCTGTATTTCTAAAGGCATATGAGGTCAAATAAGTTTTTGACAGGAATAACTAAAGGCTGTTTTTTTATTATTGACGACTTTTATGTCAGTGCACCAAATACGTTAATCCTAAAACCTAAAATGCTTCACCATGTTCCAACATAACCAACACCATAGGCTGATTTCTGCTTGTACCAGATAATAGATCTAGCACAAGAAGTAGATTAATTCATGACCCAAGTCGTTCAAGAGTAAAATTGACCTTGTATATAATATTGCAAACCCTATGATGCTCTACGACATCGGTGGTGTTGATCAGAACACTCGCTTCATTAAACTTACTTTACTGTTTATCATCTTTATATGTGCCCCCAATCAAATTGTGGCATTCAGCGTCGCTTTAATATTCGGATTGCAGCGTATGGCGCTGCACACCTTCCAGGTCTAAAAGTCTAATACCTAGTATGCTTTGATGCGCGTTTATTGATTAGCGACCGTATTTCTTTCGCTTTCTACCAAACAAGTGATGTGGGCAATGCAATCACTGTAAATCGCTAATTAAAATCAAAATGCAAAAATAATTTGCTTAAATGCGAAACATTCACTCATTTGTAATAAATGAATTATACTTGGCACTAACAATCCGATTATTTGCTACGGAATCCAATATAACACAGTATATTATTGAATATATAATATACTAAATCTTAGGTTGTACAGTTTCCCAAATATGTTTGTACCTCGTTTCATTGACCGGATCAGAAGTTTATACAAAAGTATGTCTCGCCCAAATTTTAAATCAATCATTTTTTAACGCAATTTATTTTGTATGAACAAGCGAAAAGACCATTGGAGATTGCTGCTTATTATTATATCGTACAGTAGCTGTCATTCAATCAAATAATTTGCAAAAATGGCTATATTATTAAAAATCTTTTATTTGTTGATCTACTAAGCTTGCTAATGTTCGTTACGATACCCCAGGGATCATAGATCCTTTTTCGGTAAACAAAGATGTCTTAAGATGCTCTACAGTTTACACGACAAAAACAATCGTATCATATAATTTTATCAATAGAAATTATATAGCGAAATTTGAAATCTTTTTAACTAATCAAGAATTTTAATTTCCCTTTAAATTGCAAAGTTAAAAGAAACGCTCAAAACAGTATAATAAGTATAAACAAGTCACAAATAATACCAAATTAAAAAGGCTTTACATCCCAGTGTGCTTAAAAAATGTAGTACATATAAAAGCGCAAGTACTTTATAATTTTTTTAATTCCCATTTTACGGCCGTATTTAACTCCCTGCCCTGTTCGGAAAATTGCGCGTACAATATTGCCACGGGCGTGCTGCGCTTGCTACCACCAGTTGCGGGCGCAGACGCCAGATATGATTATGTTTACGCGTCTACGCATCATCAACCGCGGCTGTAAGTACCGTCAGTGGGTGCTCATGTTGTTGATACCAAATTAATTGCTGTTGTCATCGTCGTTTCTGTGGAAATATTTAATTGTTATAGTCGTTGATTCTGCTACTGCTGTTGCTGTAGTTGTTGCTCTTGTTGCTACTCTGTTGCTATTGTTGTTACTCTGTTGCTATTGTTGATGTTTTGGCTGCGAGAACGAAAACTGTACAACAAAAGGACATTCATCTTATGTGCACTTGGCTTTGTAACGTCGTCAATCACTCTTTTAACGAATTTACCGACGGATTAAGTTATGCCGATCTTATTGTAGTATGTATTTAGAGACGGATTCAGTTATATCGATCCTATTTTAGTATACCAATGAATAAAGAATCTAAAAATTAGGTGCTGTTCGTCGTTATTTTACATTGCTAATACGGCTGACCCTACATATATGTATTTATATTCAGTTTTAATGACGTGATGTTCATGTATGCCACATTGGATTAAGTGTATCAGGACGCAATACACTTTTTTCGAAATAATTGGGATCTATTTTTTATTTAATATGTGGGGCATCTTAATATTTTCGTTATAATATAGAAATAAACTTTTTTATTAGC